TCCCTTAGACGTATCGACCTATAGAGAGCCTCTCGTGAGTTGACAGGTCACACCATGGTGGCTCGATGAGCTTGCTCCAGCTTCACAGGTTTCATCAGTGTAATGTATACAAACCGAAACTAGTGTAGCAACGAAAGCGCAAAAAGCCTCCCCCCCAACCTCGTTGCCGAACTGCGCTAATAACCCCACACCACAACCCGAGAAATGTAAAATTTGTACAAAACGCATGGTAGCAGTTATGAAAACAGTACTACTCCGTAAGAGAGCCCATTTCAAGAAGAAAAAGAGGAGAAATGAGCTGAAGTTTTTTATTTCTGGTTATATTAGGTTGGTTCAGTCGAACCGGGGAGTCTGAGACCTTTGAATAAAATGAGGGTTATGAAAATCTTCGTAATTCTTATATACAGCTACACTACTTTAACAAAGAATGAAGACCAGACAGGCAGGACTCGAGCCCGCATCTCACGATTTGTGGGAGAGTGCGCTATCCGTTAAGCCTTCAGCGCTTCTTTTACCCTCTCAGCTCAAGGCAGTGCCACAAAAGCATTTGAGCTAAGAGAACAAAAGCAGTTTTGGTGGGATCACGGAAGTGCGCTCGACTGGAAAGGCGAGGAGCGGGTTCCAGTCTTGCCTGCGGCCAAGACTTTTGCCTATAATTCAGGATTCTTACGGCAACTTTCAGCCTCAAACTGCGGCGCAAATCAGCAGTTATCATAATTAACAGCTGCTCCGACACACTTACAATCTTGCTGTTCCAAGGACAAATCATAGAAAACGTTTCAGACTCATTTCTTCGTTTGCCAGACCATCCTCTAAAATGAGGGGGCATTAGTGTTCGAGATGCCCAAGCGCTATACATTGTTTAATTGCTGGTGTACCCCTCCAGAAATTTTCAATTTCAAAACTTTCGCCCTTTTCCCAGACGCCCCCTTCGATCGTTTGTTATCGGCTCTTTTTTTCAAAACTGAGACAATGTTCAATGGTCGACTTATTGGGAGCCTTCTGGCCAACTTGTTTTTTTGTTAGTTCGGTTCGTGTATTTCATAAGAAGTAGTTTACAAGCAAGTAACTGTCCGATCACCTTCTGGTTTTTGTCATAATAGTGTCGACGGTTATTTTCTCGAGGTCCATTGGTGATATGTCAAAGTTACGATGATTCACTAAGATTAAATATGCGGCATATTAGAAGAAACAGACAGAATCCAGTCCTTGAACGATCAGTACTTTGTATTATTGCTTCTTGTAGTAGTTCTATTGACGCATGTAATCGATCAAACTTACTGTAATGGTCTTACTTCGGCGAAACTTCGATCCCTTTTCTTCGCTTCATACAAGTGGAAGGAAGTGAGCCTACAGAAATGGGCTCCACCCATTTCAATAGAGCTAGTCGGGCGGGTGAGTACCTACTTCAGAAATCCTGAAATATGAAAAACCTCAAGGATTATAGGATTCCCAAGTTTTGTTGCGCACAAACAACGCTTTCCTTATTTTACTTGAGGGCAATGCCCGCGACCATTCGTCATCAAAGATAGTGGGTTAGGGATTCGCATATAGACGACAAGGTGCTGATTAGCTCGATAGTGAAGAAAAAAGAAGCAAAAAAAGTGCAACTGCTCAGATAGAACCCATTTCAATTCCCATCGTACTATCATGCCCAATAATCCATCTTCCAACAGTACGCCTCATCCGCCCACAGCTGCGTTCCTTGATAAAACTCTACCGAATGTACAAGTTACATTTTGGCATACTTTTTTCGTTCATGCAGCTTCGTCTTTCCCTGGGAAGGCGAGCCTTGAAGGCGGGGTCTGGCGGAGGCGATGTCACTGAAAGAAGCTGAACCGCCAGCACGTTCCCAAGGCCTATACTGCACTATAAACGCCCAGTTCCTTACAATTTTTTGCTGTGAAACAGGATAGAAGGTTGCTTGACATTCATTCGACTGTGTGCGACCATAGCCTTTCAACGAGCTTATTTCGAACTGCACGGAGGCTTTTCGGGCTAGAGCGTTTTCTTAGGTCTACCAGACCAATTGTCATACTTTGCAGTGATTTCTATACGACTTCGTGGGGATGATGATGGTTATGGGATGAATGTCGAAGTGAACACGTTTCTAGCCGTTCACACTGAAGAGATAAACCAGCCAGACTGTTGTTGCAAAAACTGAAGATGGTAGGGTTTGATATCCTAGAAAGGCACTATATGTCATCTTGCCCCACGTCCCTTGCGATCATCTACGATAACAACAGGAAAGAGCTGCGAACAGCCATTAAGATCATTGCTGCTTAGGATGCGACCAGATGAACGTGGCACGACTTGCAGGGTATCAAACCCAGCCATCTTGCATTTTTCACCGCCGACCCCCTTTTCTTCATTTTTACAAATTTCTGCAGGAGTAGATGGCTATAGCGCTTAGCGATTCTCACGTGTTCCTTTCTATGTTCAGCTAGCCCAAGGTTGTCTTTTGAATTCATGAGTTGCTCAGTAACTGGTCGGTTAATAGTAGGACCTCATTTTCCATATTTCATTGCATTATGTTCTTAGTATTGTTGACACGGATGACGTATGATTTCTTTTGTAAATTTTGTGAAGGGCTCTGGGCTGAGAATCTGTTTAATTTGAAGTTTTGTAGTTTTAATAGTTTCGACTTCTGTAATTCCTTCCAAACACGACACAAAAAAGAAAAACAGTCAAAAATGGGCAGCGATGACGACCAGCTCTCCCACGTATGCGCCATGCCTCCTACTTTTTTTGGAAATCTTTTCTACTTTGGAAGCAGCTCGAAAGCGCAAGGCACGATGGATCGGCCTTGCTCAAAGATAGTAGCATTGATGCTATATAGCGGCGAAAATGACAAAAAATCAAATTCAAACGGTCAAGAACCTAAGAAAAAAACTTCGATCTGCACGGCATTGGACGAGCATTTCTGGACGAGTTCTCCGTTGGCATCGTGCTAACAACTGTTTTGATAGATACGGATGCACCAGGGCACATCATTGGTTGGGAAATTTGATCGAGTACGTACGACCCCCTAAAGGGTAGCACGATACGACCCCTCCTCTTTTATAGGGTCCCTGTCAACTATCGGGAATTTTTTCCCCGACCAAATATGACCTCTGTTGGGAATCCCCAACAATGATGTGCCCTGGGCTGCACTCATGTATTCATACATTCATGAAGCAACGCTTCATATCAGTAGTATGAATGAAGCGATAAGAGTACCAACACTGATGTGACTGTGCGGTCAATTGTGGGCGGGGCGTTGAGCTGGGCGTATGGGTCGGCATGTTAGGCGTTATAATGGTGCCCTTGGTTGAAAAAGGTGCCACACAGCATTTGCTTAGTAGCGTAATATATTTTCGTGCTAGGCGTATTTGTCCTGTACGCCTCGTGGATTTATCGTGCCACCTGCCTTTGAACACGCCAAATTCTTGTGCTCTTTGATGGATCTAGAATCTGGACGATGTTGGCAAACAGGAAGACATGATTGGCTTGGGTGCTCAAATCCTAACATGGTCCAGTCCAATATTTGACTCGGCATCATATGTATAGCTTTGACCCGTTTTCTACTAACTCGATTCAGCACTCTTTTGTGGAAAGTGCCTCGAATTTGATTTGAAAGGTGGTGAACTAATCATGGAAATCGTAAATTTGAAAAATTATGAATTTCAAAGTATGTGAAATATTTATAGTCATGATCACGCAAAAGATAAGGGGTGTGAAGGGTTGTGAGTTGGATCGAAACAGCCCTTCGCGCCACTTGTTGCGGACTCAGGATGGCATTATTGATGAAAAGACCGAGTTGGCAATGCTCCAATCTACGCCCCGTCACAAGCCCTGTCAATTGCAGGGATCGTGACTGTAGCTGTGAAATATCAAGATTTCCGATGTTATTTTTCTATGAACCACATAATCCTGATAGTTTCGCCCAACATGCAGAGGAATATCCCTTACAACTTCATGAATAGCGACGGCGTAGCCAATCGACACCCCAAAGTACCTTTTTCTAATAATCGATTGGACGCGTCTACTGTCTTCCGCTCGACGGCAAATTTTTGGAAAAGATTGATAGGATGGTTGGTCGCTTGTGCAAAGGGGTCACCAAAAAAAGTTGTCGGTGGGAGGTGGTCCTGCAAAGATCCTCCCAGCACCAAGATGTGCTTCAGTCGCTCCACTATTGCAAAAGTGAACAATCATGTTTTCGCTGTTTCTTCCCCACACCTGGTGTTCTGGCTAATCCCGTCAGGCGTGTACCTGCTGGTTTTTGGCCGAAGTTCATGCTGCGCTAATGAAAACGCCATTTATCGTTAATCTTCCATAAGAAGCTCAACAAACAGCTGATAATGTCGCACTCTGTCGGGAGATGGATGGAATGAGCTCACCATCCTTTCGATCACTTATTAGCGACCACCACTGGTAGAGCAAGGCGATTGGGAGAGGGCTCGTTCCGCCCCTCAGTTCATCACGATACCAGGTCTGCGGAAAGATATAGCTTGGGTCAGGATTTAGGCCCGATTTCCTGCTTCCGAGATGAATCACCCTTTCAATCTTTCGTCGAAAACTATTTACTACTACCATACTAATATTACTAATTTAGAATACATTTATGAACTTTAACTTTGCCCTGGAAGTTTGCCATGTTGAACTTCCCTTCATTCTTGAAATGACGGATATTGCTGTGTTACTTCAATCATATTTTATTTTTTTCTGGTATATTTTAGAGCAAATCATATGACATTGCTAAATACTATAAAGAAAGAGCAAGTAGATTTTGTTGTGATTTTTCAAGGGGATGGAAGGGGAAACTCGTTGAGTGACGCATTGCTGTGACCTTGCATGACGAGAGTTTTACACTGTCTCTTCTATGCGGTTCCACCATCAGAACAACCATCACACAATCATTCTCTGCCGATTACAATCGCTTCCTCTACACCCGTTTTCTTCTTTCATGTAACCGAAACTTTCCATCTCGATATCAGTTAGGAAGTTAGGCTCCCGTGTTTCCAAGCTAGATAACTCGAAGATACTCTGTACACTCCCCTCTGTGAACCCCAGAAGCAAGTGGTCCTTGCCGTGTGCAAAGTGCACGGATGCGCAGCTGTAGAACTGCGCCACTGTTTCTCACTCAAATGCCGGAAGTAAGGCTGGAGGGTTGTGGTCAGGCTACGTCCTCCCGCTGATGAAATTTCCCCGAAAATACGACCCCCTCCCTCTGAATTTCGTTCTCTGACACGACACCAACCTCCATCCCTTTCCCATCTTAACTACTATCTCACCTACTTTTCCAAGCTTTTACTGAATTAAGTTCCCAAAAATTTCCAATTTTTCCTCAAAATTTTGAAAATAGGATACAACCCTCCTTCCGCTTTCTCTCATCGACGGGCAAATAGGACCCTTCCACGGCGAAGTTCTCTCAACGATGTGAATAACGCTCGTGGAACAGAACAATCCACCATCAAATAAAACTTGCCGAACCAAATACGACCCCCTCCCCCGGCGACCAAATACGACCTCCCTCGCCCCTTGGGATTCCTCAACGTAGGACGTGCCCTGGTAGTGCTCCACCCACAGGCAAAACAGCACGTGACACGTCGTACTACCAGCTATTTCCCTAGATTGGAGCGCAGAATACTCCCTCCCCTCTAGGCCAGAGAGCGCCGTGGTCTGTAGCGTTTTAGCACACTCAGGGACAATTATTCAGCCTATTCAAATTTCGACTCAAACAAACCCGTGCGATTGCATATTGTGGACAGTGACAAACCTATAGCCGTTAGGTGACTCTCCAGGGAAGAAAAAAGCAAAAAAAATTATTAGGGACACCGCAAGGACTTCTTGGTAGCCACACTGTTAGTTTTCCGGACCTGCACGTTTTATTCAGCACACCGATACCTGCCACCCCTGGCTCACTAATCGTTTCTTCGCGTATTCACTGCTAATGCCAATTACTAGTGAAGAAAGACAAAAAAATTGAAGAAAAAACAAAAAAATTCGTGCGAAACTGAACTCGTTACAGAAAATAGTATTTGAGTTTTTCCCAGTGGGCGGGCACTACGGAAGAGCCAGAACCTTTTCTGCAGCGCCTTGTTATTCCCTGGAAAGCCGAGATATCGGGACAATCCACTGAGGGTCAGACTACTTTCACAAGGAAAGACGCCTACGAATCGCTCTAGCGCGGGGACGTCTTTGAAGGCAAAACCCTTTCGCCATCACAGCTAGCGGATTAGGGGTTTGCATATAGACGACAAGCTTCTGAGTAACTCGATAGTGAAGAAAAACAGAAAAAACATGCCAACTGCCCTAGATAGAACCCCATTCCGATCCCAGTTTGTACGTGCCCAATTAACTCCATCTCCAACACTACGCCCCATCCGCACAGCTGATTCCCCGATAAGAACTCTACGACCGTACAAGTGACGATTTTCGTGCTTTTTCGTCCGGCAGCCTCATTTTTCATTGAAAGGCGGGCCTTGAAGGCGGAGTCTGGAGGCGGAGTCACTGGAAAAAAGGAGGTCACTGAACCTATATTGCGCTATAGCGCCCCTCCCTTACAATTTTTTGCCGCGAAACCGGTACAAGGTTCTTCGTCGCGGACCACATTATACCTGATCGCGGACCATGCATTTAACCATTGAAATGTGGGACAGTACGGCCAATTGTTGTAAAGCCGATACCCGGTAGATACACTTCTCCAAGTCTACGTAGGAACCACTTGAGGCTATTAGCGAGAATGCCCTCCCTTAGCGTGGCAGCGCCCACCTCTTCGCAGCGGTTCGTTGTAGATCGGCCTTACCGAAAAAGAGAGAACGAATTAGTTAAGCAAATCGCTTTACTGTCTCATCCCTCTGGGCGAATGCTCCTTGAGCTCTTACAAACTCTCGGACTTGCCCGATTACTTCACAACAATCTCTTTAACCCACGAAGCTGTACTGCAGAAGGCGTCCGAGTTTATACTTTTACTTCTATAGCAGTTTTCGACAGAGTTGTATTCAGTATGCTGCCGGCCCTTGTTTCTCCTGTGTTTTATGCCTATGGCAGCTGCACTTGGCAGAACCCAAGCTGTTGGTGTCAAAGGAGTTCTCATATGTAACGATAAACCTGCGTCTGATGTACAAGTGAAGCTCTACGATGAAGATAAGTGTGAGTAATACTTTTACGCAAAACTATGGGATTATTCTAATTACAAAGCGCGTTACATTCCAAGCGCTGCAGCAAAAATGCGACAACTGAGAGTCCTTGAGAGAGTCACATTGAGCGGTATGGGGCGGGGCTTCCAACACTGTACGCTTCCTACTTAATTCATTCCTTTTGGGTTTTTCCCCCCCCGCAAGCAATAAAGGCGCTAACATTAGTGGCACGTCAATAAAGCAAGCCCTATAATGGGTGAGTGATGGCTGACTCCGCCCACACGATTAGCGTGGATTGTGCTTTTCAGATGAAGGACTTGTTGCACAGGAAATCACTCGAAGAGATCGCTCTACGACCACATTATTATTTGGGGGTATCGCACTAACATAAATTGTTTAACTATCCACAAGAATTGTTTATGAGCTAAGAGTAGCTCTGTGTACGGGCATGCGCTACGATGGGAAATAATAATGAGACATATTAGTGAGTCGATAGCGCCGTCGCAAGGGTACACATGCGCGATCAAGATATGCCAATGCCTCAGCGAACGGCAATCATCGTTGAGGGTTCCCGCCAAACAGGGGGTCGTATTAGTCGCTGGAGAAGGGGAGGGATCGTAATTGGTCTGAGAAAAAATTTTTTTGGATAGTTGATTTTTCTTTTTCAGGGACGCTATAAAGGGAGGCGTCGTACTCGCTCGTTGTTAGTGAGGCGTCGTACTCGCTCGTTGTTGGGAACAGGGTTGGGGATGTTGTAGCTGGAGTGTTTGTTTGATTTTTTTTGGGTCTTTCCCGTTCTATATGTACATATACCTCCTCCCCCGTCAATAGCAAAACTATAGGGAAGAATTGGGAAAATTTTCGGAAAATTCCGGAAAAAGTGGTAAAGTTGGAAGGATGGGAGAGGGGGGGGGGAGTACGGCTTCAAACCAAATCCGACTAATGATTAGGTCCCTGTCCCGAAAGTGGTACATTTTTGAAGGTGTTCTCCAGCGTATCCGACTTGGGACTAAGGCAGCAAAGAGAACTTGCAAGCGCAGTCACGTGCGAGGCATTCGCACCAGTGCCACGCTGCAGTGTCCCAAGTCAACTAGTTAGCAACTTCCTTTGTTCGTTAGGCAAAATGCTCTTCGAATCGTATTAGGGTTTTTGTAAAGCTGTGCATGAACGATTTTGGAGGCTCAGGAGCAATAGAAAAATGGTGATAAGGATCAGGAGTGCAGCCTTCCCCAGCCTTAACAGGCCAATATATTTAATTTTTACGAAAAATTAAGGGAAAATTATGGTCTGCACACACCCGAGCGGGAAATATGGCAACCAGGAAAAAACGGATGACAAGCGGAAGTCTGACCGCTGCCGCAAGGGTCTAGACAGTGATCTTCGACCCAAGTCTGGCTGCTAATAGACTAGTACATGTCCCAGCAGACCCTCACTTAACAGAAGAACTGTAGATTGCTTTCAATCTTTATTATTTTTGCAGGTGTTTATAAGACATAATAAATTCCTAGTGAGCCCCGACGAGTTTATGGCAGGAGGAAAGACTGACAGCAGTGGTCATTTCGAAATCAGTGGACATGGCCGATCGAGTTTAGCAGGCGATCACGAGCCTAACCCAACATCTATCACGAACCTGCAATGATGGAATCATGGTGAGTGGTCTCATGCTGCAAACCTTGATTTTCGTTTCTTCAATGCAGCGTCGGGAAAGTTCATTTCCCATCCTTGGGACTTCTGAGAAAACCTCTTCGACAACAGCTCCTATAGCATCTCGATCCTCAGCGCTGAAACAGATGGGGCGAAGATAGCTGCGCCTCTTTCGCACGCAACGTCCCGGAAAAAACCCTCTATCCGAACTTTCGGCTCTGACGCGGTCATGACACCAAGAGGAAGTAGCCGTAATTTGAAACATAAACCAGCGAAATCTGTCTCCCATCGTTTCATGGTTAATCGTTAGGATTCCCCAGCAGAGTAGGGGGATCGCTAGTGATGCGGCGATCGCGGGGGAGAAAGGTCGTACTTGGTCCGGCAAAATTTTTTTCACGGTTGATTTTTTTTCACGGACTTCTTTCTTCTATGATGGAGGTCGTATTTGGATTTTGAGAGAAATTAGCAGTGTTGGGAAACATTTTTCCCGGTTACTGACTTTGCGCGTTTCCGTCGCTTCACATGTGTGTATGACCCCTCGCCCCCGCGATCGGGCGATCGCGGCGATCGTCGGTGCATGGCAGCGCGCGCCCCAACGCTATTGTGAATGCTCGCCTGATGAATAAGGGAATTCAACTTGTAAGACCTTCTTTACTCTTAATAAGGGCTACTAAGCAGACACTTTCTACACATAAGCAGATCTGGAATATGAGGTAAGAAGGTTTCACTTCCTTTTAGGTCGGGGTAAGACCAACTCCATTTCCTGGGGTGCTTCTTTTTTTGTTTTTATTGTTCAAATTTATGCATGGCCTCAGGAATTCCTATCGTCTAAGCTGTTCCAACTTCCAAAACATTCATAGTTTACAAGTCGAGTTCAAACAACGAAGAAAAAAAAGAAACAGAAAGAAACTCTCCTAGGAACCAAAGCACTAATCATTTTACGCGACATCAACAGGTGAAAACTTCATAAACCTCATGTACAACCTCGACGAATGAAAAAAAGAAGCAATAAAAACGTACCTTAAGTGAAGCTCTCGCGCTTTTTGCTCATTTCTATCCTAAATAAGAAAGAAAATAGAAAACAAAAGCGATTAGCTGGGCTCGCCTTCCCTTGTGTCAAACCAAGCTTCAGTACCTAAGGAAATTGCAGTCAAAGGAAAAAAGCATAAAATTGAGCCGCTTACCCCAGAAGCCTTCGGAGCGCAAGTAATAGCGTTGGGGCGCGCGCTGCCATGCACCGACGATCGCCAGCGACTGCTGGGCGATCGCGGCGAATGCGCGCTGGCTGTCGGCGAACTATGAAACGCTGGCTTAGAGGAGCAGCTCGAGAGATCGCGGCCACATCGCTTTCGCTCCGTCCCTGCGCCGCGGCGCCGTGAAGAAACCGCGGCCCGCATAACGCGCATGGGTGAGTTTTCCCCGTACCCGCCATCCCCTCGATCGTATCAGAGGAGGGAACTAGAGGAGGCATCGCACGGATTCCACCAAATCCTCAACCAATGATAGGGCCTGGTCGAGCCAGGATAGGAGCTTCTCTAAAAGGAGAGGGGGACGCCGGGGTGGTGAGCTGCTGATCGTCTGCGAAAAGCTGGAATATATGAGGGCCGAATGACCACAGAGTGCCAATCAGGCGACAGAGTGCAGAGAAAAACCTAAATTCGAAGTATTCCGAGGAATTCAGCATTCCGAGAGATTAAGCGCATTTGGAATATTCTTTTTATTTTTTTCTATAACGATTTAATCTCAGTGTCGCAGAACTTTCTTTCCAACCTACTATTAATGCGAACTTACGCTTAAGGAAGGCGATCAGTGCAGCGTACTGTGAAGCTATTTAAACAAAGTTATATATTGATGAATTCTTACATGACTAAAAAGGCCTAGGATGCTTTACCGTCTATTTTCAGCCCTGCCAACGAAAACTTTCAATTCACATTCCGGATTCATACATAAGCAGCGGGGAGGTAAGCACGTCTAATCAAGTTGTTCTTCAGGGAAGGTTCTTAAGAGCTTTTCCTTCATGAATTGTAAATCTTTTGCTAGTAAAAGTCTTATTCCCCGTTGATTTTGTTGGCAGAGTTACTTGAACCACTGTGCCCCTCCTGCTGGATGTGACACTACTGAAAGGCAGCGCACCACGTTCATTTTATGTTCCCGCGCCCTCTCTGGATAGTATAGCCCTCCCTATAAGGATGCAGTATATACTAGTTTTGCATCTCAAAAAGGCGAGAGGATAGCGCCCTTCGCCAGTGAAGAGTCGGCCACTCCGCCTACCTGGTCAGCGTAAGGGTTCCATATAGGGTGGCATTTCCCATGATTTTTTTCTGCTTTTTTTCTTCACTACTGGATCACGTATTATATGTGCTCCATAACTCATTATTCTTGAAAGCGGGCTCAGCCTTTAAAGGCTAAGCCAAAGCAGTTATGGCAGCCAGGTGGGCGGGGCGGCATCCTCTTCACAAGCGGGTGGCGCCATCCTCTCGTATTTTTGAGCTGCGAAATTAGTACATCCTCCACCCTTGTCGACAAAGCTACGATATCTAAGGAGGGCGTAGGAACATCAAATGAACGCGGGCGCTGCCTTTAACAGCAAAGAGGGCACTGGTCAGGGAAATGAGGAGTGAGCCGTGGTTCGAGTGACACTGCCAAAATTTCCCAAAAGTCATCATCCACCTATTTAGGTGCCAAAGCGAGTGTTCGATTTCGGCACATTCCAGCTGGCCGGCAAATATTATGGAGAAACCAGAGATTGTCTACATCGAGCTTAGATCGATAGAACATGCAAATTTGTTTGCATTAATGACTGTAAATTAGAAATGAGCTAGAGCAAAGTTTTGTCGTTGCTATTTGATAAAGGTCTAAGTTGAAGGGCAGAGGTAACGCAGCGGTTAAAATGCTGCTGCGCGCATCCCGTATTCATGTGTTGTCATATGGCTTCAGAATCCCGAGTGAAAACAGAGTGCATGGCGCATACCAAGAGACTTTGTTTGAAACTTCGCACTGCATTCTTATTCTCCTACATTTCTTGTCTTATTAATTGTCGATGTTATCACTCGTAAGCTTGTTAAATGGAGCATACTGGAGTGGGCGGAGGCAACCAGTGTACATTTCTTATTGATGCTTCCCTTCTCTGAAAGGGAGAGACGCACCAATGAGAGAAGCAAGATCTTTAAGAGGCTCCACCAGTCGATATCGGGTAAAGTGCCTCTTCAATGACGCACACCATGTTGATGGTATGGGCGGTGTCACTTGGGTCACTGTACGTTTGTCATTCTTCTTCTTTTTTCGTTCCGCTCTGGCAGAGTCCGCTCACAGTACCTTCATCGTTGGTTTCGGTGTTCTGTGCTTATTTTTTAACTACTGCTTCCTTCCTGTTCAACCAGTTGGTTTCCCTGATCAGCCCGATGCTAATTTTTGTCTCTTCTGATTGGACCCTCACTGCTATCCTCACCCAGCTCTCAGAGATTGAGGTGAAACTGAACACACTTCTGTTAGCTCCTAAGCTTGTCCAACAGAACTTCAGGTTCTACTCCAGCTTCGAAGGCTCGACCAGAATCTGAGCCTCTGAATGTTACTACTAATCCCAGGTGTACTTCCAATCAACCGCTCTTGTTTTACTTCCGTAACGACTTCGCGACATCAATCGATTTAT